AGCAGTCTCTTTATTATTTCTAATACGAAAAATCAAAATATCTTTTACCATTCATTTATCATCCGGATTGTTTTATTTTCTCATCGAATAACTTCTTCTTCCCCATCGATTTCTTCTCGATATATAATTATCTTACAAAAAAGAAACATGAAACAAAGAGCCGAGAATGCTCTCAAAATTACTGTGCTATTCCGTTCGTAGATTGAACGTTAAATATCGTATTATATAAATCGAACGAGAGCGTAAATTGATATAAAACGTAACAAGATTAGCACGAAACATCACAGCGTGTAAAATCGAAGTGAAACGAACGTGTGTGTGAGACAGAGCGTGAGACGAAAAACATCATTAATAAAATATCATTAATAAAATCATTAAAAACTTCATTTCGTATTAATCTGGATCCAGTTCTTTTTCGTATTTTATATAAAAATCAATCTCTAAAAAAAATCGATCGTCCTAATTATCTATCAATTATATACCATGAATCGGCCTTTTATTGCTCGTGTGGTGCCCCACAACGCTCAACCCTATTTAACGATATAAAGCGAGTTTGATTGTAATCGAAGCATATCGGTAATTGTTTATAATTCAACTCCATATCGAGCAGTCTGGGCGTTTAATTGTCATCAAACTATTAATAACATAGGCTTGTCGGGCTCGAACGCGAACCAATGAGCATCGTATTTAATCGCCAATGAAAAAGCTTCGACCAATTGTTCGCCAGACAGCTCGACGAGATTCGGAGTTGTTCAAGAAAATGCATAAAAAATACCGCAATTTGATTTGGCTCGAGGCGTAAGCGTCACCAAAAAAACGCTGCTAAAAATTACTCAACAGATCCGCCGCCATTATTATTATTATTATTTTTTTTTTTTTTTCGTTACGTATCGGGGGCGAAGATCTTTACGGTATTCTCGGAATTTTTCGCATTCGAGCGCATCGCTCGTCTTTTCTCCTCGATCAATTGCCTTCGAGCTTGTTCTCTCGCTTCCCTTGCTTTTTTATTCGCCTCGCTGTTGGCCGTCGATTTTGATTTGTGAATTGGTGGGACGCGACGTTTTGCGGTGCTACCATTCTGCGGAATTGAAGTAATCGTCTTTTTCTCCGGCACGGTCTGAAAAAAAAGAAAAAGAAAAAAATTAGAGAGATATTATCAAAGAGTCGAGAGTATAACGTTATAGAGGTGTTGGAGAAATTTAAAGAAATCAAGAGGAATCGAGAAGAAATCAAGGAATTGAAAAGAAGCGATTGAAAGAAGATGAAGGGAAAAGTGGATGACGAGGAAAAACATACTTATAGAAGTATGATCCATCTTGAACTTCTTGATAATTTTTCTAAAACTGGTGATGAATTCTTTGATCCTCGTTTGCTTTTATACTTTTGCAAAAATTTAAAGAAATACCGGAGGCAGAAGAAGACATTTATTCTAGAAATGCAAGGGGATACATTTGATCGTTGTTAATGGTGATTTAATTTAGAAAAAATTATATAAAACGTTGGGATTCAGGATGTAACAGCCGATTTTTAAAAATATAAGAACAAGACTCAGAATACCGTATACATATAAATACAACGATAATCTACAAAGAGTTCGATTCGATTTGAGAAACGTGTATATGTGCCTCATTCTGAGGAAATTTTTAGCATTAGGCGAATTCGAATGAATTTCGATATTGTCCGGAAACAATTGCATGTATTTCAATTCTTCGAAATAAGGATTCGCGTGAAATCCTTTTTTCAACGGTAGATAATTGTTTAAATTAATGGATTTAATATTTTTGCCATTTTTTTGATTGAATAAGGGACGAATAACGAAATCCGAATGAACATGTTGCGAAATATCCATGACTACATTAGCATCGACATCTGACGATTTTATATTTTTTGTAATTAAACCGTAACTTAATTTTTTAATGTTTAAATTATTTTTTAATTTAGAGGCATTACGATTCGCGACTTTAGACACAATATCAGCACTTAACGAAGACATTAAAGTGGACAAAAAGTTTTGTATCTCATCGTTCTTCTTAGACAATTTTGGGATATCATTTGCGGCATTATTCATATCGTCGTTCTTCTTAAGCAATTTCGTGATATTATCCGTCACATTATTTATATCCTGCATCTCGTCATCCTTCTTAGACAATTTTAGGGCATTGTCGGTGACGTTATTTTTATTCTCTATCTCATCCGTTTTAGACAATTTCGAGATATTATCGGTGATATTATTTGCGAAGAAAGTCGATTCATTTTTCGTTTCTACCACATTGGACGTCAAATTAGAAATTAGACATTGGATCGAAAAATCACGACTTTTAGGTATAGAATTTATAACTTCGGATATAGGATTTGAAATTTCGACTTTCGTTTTCAAATCGTCTTGTAAATTTACGAAGCTCGCATTTGGAATATTATCCTCTGACGTATCGTATAAAGAATTACTCGTGATCGAATTATTTCTAACGAGTTCGTCCTCTTGGAACTTGCCATTCTCTTTTCTCTTCTTATCGTAAACCTTCATTCTTTCTAGTTTTTCCGATTTGTTTAAATTTGCAGATATATTCAAGTGATGCTCGATATTGTACACTTGCCTTAATTGGCGAAGAGTTTCTTGGGACAATGGAATGAAAGGTTTCGAATCGCTTAATCTCCACGCAATGTTATTGGATGTTTCAGACGAGACTTCTGCCTCTCCTTTCACCATTTTATGCAATTGTTTCACTTGCTCTTTCTTAGACTCTTGCTCGATTTTTTTAGGCAATTCTTTTATTTGCTCTTTTCTAGACTCTCGCTCGAACTTTTTAGGCGATACTTTTGTTCTCTCTTTTACTTTTTCTTTCTTAGAATCTTCTAGATCCTTCTTTATCTTCCAAATTCCACAATAAGTACAATTTTCCGTGCTTGTATTGAGCTTACTTTGCGATTTGTACTTATTCTCCGTAACGTCGAGATTCGACCATATATCGCGCACGATAGAAAAATTAAACTTCTTCTTGCAATTATGATTAATTTTTTTCACGTTTTTCTTATTTATCGCAAGAAAATTTTTCTCTAATTTCCCATGCAATATGTTTATTGCGCATAATTTATTCGTGTTATCTTTATCAACTTTATCGTTGATAATCTTTTCGGTTTTCTGATTATCAGCCGATAAATTGTTCTTTCTCGTTTTTGACAATTCTTTAATATCGTTTGGTAACGATACGACATTTTTAACATTTTCTTTACGCGGAGAGAAACTTTTATAAGGAAACTTGTCATTTTTCGATGGAATCGAAACTTTCTCTTCCCGTTTCCGCGTAACGATAGATTTTAAATTACAAGGCTTTTGCGCGTCGCCACTACGTGGCTTAATTAAATTGTTTTTCTGGGGCTTGATTTCTGGAGTATGCGATCTTGCTCTTCGATTAGTCTCGTTGTTGAGTATCCTCCCCACGGGGCTACAGGATTTAGCTTTCGGTCGAATGCTTTCCAATTTTTTGTCTTCGACTATACTTTTTTTATGAAATTGAGAAATATTCTTTCCACCGCTGTGCGTGTTACTTTTTTTCTCTTGCACGTCACTTTGCCTATTTTTCGTAAACGAATTATTCTGTGCCTTGTCGAAATAATAATTATCTTTCTTCTGTTTAAACTCGTCGTTCTGTTTCTTATAAATCACTTCGAATTTCCTCGAAAAATCTTTCTCAAGAAAATCGTCGTCAGAATATAAATTATATTTATCATACGACGGTGTAACGTTCTCAAAATAAAACGAATTCACGTCAGGCTGTAACGATTTCACGTAATTGATTACGTACGAAGTGCACGGATTAAGAGGAATGCTATCATTTTCCATCGATTTTATCTCGTTTAAATTTTCACAAAGAAACGGATCGTTCTCGTAATCTAGATCATAATCTTCGTAATAGTTCCCATGCTTCTCTAAATTTTGGGGAAAGTTTAAACCTTGGAACACATCGTCGCATAAACGTGTCTCGAGCGGGAATTGTATTTGGGATACAGAGGAATCTTTTTTAACGTAATTCGGTTTTTCCTCTCTGACGAATATTTTATCATCGAATCGTACACGTTTAGCGGTAACAGATTGGGAGCAGTATGTACGGGTGGGTAGTTCAGCTGGCTTTACGTTATTTACGGAATTCTCGTGGGAATAAAAATTGTTCTCAAGAGGCTTCAAAGAATCGATTGTCTGAGGATGAACAGAAACTGAACGTACCTCTTGCCACTGAGAACTGCGTAATTTTTCTATCTGATCGAATAGTTCGTTTACTTGGACCACTTGTAACATCACCATGTCCCAGAAACCAGCCAGATCTTCGTTCGTCGTTGGGAATTCCTCGCCAGGTACCTGGTTCTGGATCGAAAGACGTTTTAATCTCCTTGTCATTTATGAATTATTATTTTATTCGAATCTTATTAGAATAAAATGAAAGATAAAAGAAGTATTACGATATTTTTCTGGCATAGTCCCTCGAATTGTTGCATCTTTTGGGAAGCGAGCAGTCTAGCTTTGCCAGCGGCTGAGCGCAATTTTCCGGCTGCCTCTTCCGGAAGTGGGACGCTATCGCCACTACTGGCCAATTCCGCTTCCGCTAACGCGGCTAAAGAGAGCAGTCTGTCCGTCTCCTGTTTCAGCAACTGTAACAATCGAGCGAAGAATGTCGATAAACGTTTCTTTCAACGTCCAACTTCCATTCCAATTAGGTATACCTTCATAAAGTAATGTCCATTTTTCTCTTCCACCGTTTTCTCCGCCTCCTGAACCTGTTTCGCCACATTTGTCGAGCTGGCGCTCGATTCTAAGACAGGTAAGACTACTTTTGGCGCAGCTGGCTGTTGATCCGGGATGCTAGTCACGCTAGAACTTAATTCCTGCGCGTTACTATCGGTTAAATTCCCATCTAAATTCGTAGCAGCTGGTATTTTTGGTTTCTGCTCGACCTTTCGAGACACCGGCGACACCCTGACACGATAAAGAAAAAAAGAAGAAAGTAATCGTATCTCCATCATTAGCGTATCATTTAACGTCCTTTACGACTCGACCGATAGAATTACCTTTGCAGAGGTTTGAGAATTTGTTCCGAGCCGTCCGTAGGTCTTCTAGGGCTTACCACGGGAAGTTGAGCTCGAAACTCTGGTCTCAGGTGTCTCAACACGGGCAAGTTCTTCAACGATTCCTCCGTATTTGCGTTCTCTATCGAAACGTCGTTGTTGTTACTAGACTTGTTGGAAATGGTATCGCTAGTGTTCAGCCTGGTAGTGCTGCGTTTGAAGAAAAAACCTTGGGCGAGAGCCCCGGGCCCGTACAGCCGTTCCACTCGCTGTTGGATGAAAGATTTCTCGCTGCTCGGAGTGTTGCTCATCATCTGACTACCTACTTCCTCCGTCGACCCGTTCAATACGTTCGTTTCGTTAAGCGAGGCGCTCGCAACTGAAAACATAATTCGTGCATAATAACAAGAAAATTTATTTATTTCAACGCGACCGAAATAACGGATACAATTTTATCGAGTGTACTCACGACTGGCGGCATCTCGCTTCGGGGAAGTTACCGAGAAATGTTTGTTCTGTTGGCTACAAGACATCATCTGCGAAACTCCAGGGCTGCGTTTCGTAGGTGTGGAAGATATGACCGGGCTAATTTCAGGGAATGTCGTCAAGACGCCTTTGTCGACTTCCGAGTAACCCTGATATATACCTATCGAGTTTCTCGATTCCCTGTAAGCCTCCACTTTACACTCTTCCTTCAAACCGTTCGAGAAACCGTTTTGTCTGTCCATAGCTAGAGGGGAAATTGATTGGCTCTTAGGTGGATGAGGATGCGCCGGTACGTTCAGATATTCGTTCGATCTGAAAAAAAAAAAACAATTTCGTGGAAGGTTAGAAAGAGGAAAAAGAGAAATTACGACTCGAGAGTTGTTTTTACCTGAAACTTGCTGGGCTAGTGTCTCGAGTGATCAACCTGGTCCCAGGGCTACTGTCCCTCGATCGAAATCCTTCCCTGAGTTTGCTATCGTATCTGTTGATCCCGGAATAACCGCTGATGCTACACGCCAGGCCCAAGTAACTAGGTTTCTTCACTGTCAGCTGCTCTGGTTCCGGACTGCTTCGATGACCATTGCTGACGTTTAATTTCTCATCTGGCGTTAAATGCGACTTCTGCAGCGTCTCACTGCTACCGTTTGCCAGATTATCCGACGAAGAAACCGAGTCACCGTTGCAAGATAAATTCAGACTGTGCAACGTCTTCTTCGATATAGTATCTATGGTATTCTCTGCAAAGGAGAAGCCTCCGTTTCATACACGAGACCTACCACGCTCTCCTCTACATTTCCATAACGCACTCTAATTTTCATATCGATCCGATCTCATATTCTCTCATAATTCTTATCTCAACGCACGCAATGCCAATCGCGAAGAGGGTCGAGAGTCGATCGATTTGTACCGCGAGCCTTTTTCAAATCCTCGAGAAAAAGAGAGAGAGAGAGAGAGAAAGAGAGAATTGAGAATTGGCACGATCCAAACGATGATACACTTGAACACGAATCCCATGAAGAGCGAAAGAAAGGAAACCAGCCACAGAGAAGAAGGGAAGAAGCGGATTTATCCCCGGCGGACAAATAGAAGCGGAGATTACGAAGAGAGGGCGAAACGGAAATGTTGAAACGTGCCCGTACGAAACGCGACACAGGAATAACCCTGGAATGGCAAGAGGCTGGCCGAGTCACGATGCAAAAGAGGAGAGAAACGCCTCTCTCTTTCTCTCTCTCTCTTTGCATCTCCTCTGCTCTTCTTGGCACTGGCGATAGAAAGAAGCTGGTTGCCCTGCACTTGCTTCTGCACTCGTCTACGATCTAAATTCGATCGGCACCCGCGGCCGAAAAGGAACGATCCGCGAGAAGAAGGTGGAGGGAACTCTGGTAACCTTGAACGTTCCAAGATCGTCCCGTCTAAAATTCGTTGCATTCGGCAACGATGAATGTCCCGTTCTGCGTGGCCTTCGACGCGCCAAGTGCAAGGTCATCCTCGAGGGGACGACCCCTCGATTCCTCCACCGATGGATAACACCTCCACGCGTCCAATTCCAACGCGATCCGCGCTCAAACGCACCCGATCCATAATTTTCCATAATTTTTACCATTCTGTCGGCTGGGGGAGGGCGCGGCAAAAAAAACGCCTCGGCTTACTTACAATTACGATTGTGAATTTCAGCCGATAAAATGCTAATAACACGCTCTTTAACTTCCTTGTTAACTTTTCCCCCCTCCCCTTCCCTGATCTTTATCATTCATTCGGACGGGAGGAGGAACGGGGCGTGATATGTCATAGGCAAAGCGAGCAAAAAGACTACCGCCGTATCGAGATATCCTCCTTCCCCTCTCCTCCCTTGAAAAAAAAAACGCTAGACATCGAAGATAGCCAACCTGATCGGGCGGACGCGGATTGATCGACGTCCAGACTGCCGCTGCCGATGCTCTCCTGGCTAGTCCTGTTGGGCTGGTGGCTGGTTACGATGTTGACGGCGATTTTCGGATCCGGATCGAGGCGGCGATAATTAAGCGGTTGCACAGCAAGGGAGAGGGGCCTTGCGCGGCGGTTCGCTCTGATGCCGGCGGCGCCTGGGACCGACGGCGTCCGCGTCGCGGCGCAGTAGTCGCCGACGTCCTCCAGGCCCGCTACCTCGCCGCCACCACCGCGTGTTTGACCGCTGGCCCGTCGACGATCCTCGTCCCCGCGGTCCTCGTGCACACTGTTGAGTTTTTTCCCTCTTTTTTGTCCCGCGATCTCTTTCATATTTCTTTTTTTTTTTTTTTTTATTTCATTTTTCATTTCAGTCGTTCAGTCGCGAAGAAGACTTTCGTTTCTTCGAAAAGAGTCTCTTCGAGACGAGAAAACGTGTCGAGGTGGAGGAAATTATTTCCTTACACACCTCGAAACGTATATTTTTCTTCGTTGGCGCGAAGATGATGGTGGTTGTATCGAGAGGCAGATTTTATTTCGCGTTTAAAAAGAGAGAGATTATTTCAGAATATAAAACCCATCATCTTCGACGTAACGACTCGTTGTTGGAATTTTGTCGCCAATTGGCTCGATGCTCTCGAGTCGTTCCTCCGTGTCAACGTTAGAAATAAAACGTGAGAAACGTGCCGATTTCACGTTCCAATGCAACGAATGATTACGTTCCATTGTCGGCCTGTCAATTTTTTATATCTTCGAGAGGAGAAATATTATCAACGTTATAAACGTTCGGCGGAATTACGTGAAAGCGGAACGAATTAGAATCAAGCTTCGACTCGTTCCGCCTGTTTTCCCTTCCCCCTTCAACAGAAGACAGAAAAACCGCATCGGATTAATTCTTTTTTTCACGATGGAACGAAGCTCGAGGGCATCGTGGGCATTAATTGGAAACTGGTGCTATCTCGTAACCGAAAAAAAAAAAAAAAAGAAAAAAAAATCTGAATGTTAACTTTCACCGAATTCCTTTAAATAGATAGAACGATCTTTCACTCTCGTTCTCGATCGAACGAAGAGGGAGGAAAGAAAAGAATCGCGTTTAAGAATCGCTTCAAGAAAAAACGTCGTAATTTCGCCACGATAGCGCGTTCACGATAGAAAACAAAGCGGAAAATCGTACGGAACAATTAGATGATTGCTTAACTGAATTGCATGCTCCGTGAATCTTGATAATTTCGCGCATAATCGTGCCACTGGCTAAGCAAACAGTTTTATCATCGTGTATCACGGAAGAAGAATGGTCCCCCCAGAAGATGGTACCGCGACTTTAAAAAGCAAATAACGCGTGTGTAAACTCATCCTCGTGGATCTAATTTTACGATTCGTACACGTACGGTGGAAGAACGTAATAAACGGGACCGTAATAAATCGACACATATGTTACTATGCGCATAGCACGAGTTTCCAATTTTCCCTTTCCCCCCCCCCCCCTCCCCCCTTTTTTCACAACTTCGCTTCAACATGCGATGAGCAAATAGCGATGAAGAGAGAATTAAAATCGATGAAAGATTCGATGAAAGCTTCAAGAGTTTAAGGGCTGAAAGCGAGAAGAATGTAAAAATCTCTAAAGGATCTATGGAATTAAAAATCAATTTCTTTAACTCCAGATTAGCATCGCTATTTACGATCGTTCTCTAATTAGCAGCTTAATTATTTCGGTCGGATTAACACGGCACTAATTGCACGCTAATTCGTTTGCTCGCGGCAATTTTCCACGAATCGCGCCAACTTGTGCGATAATCACAAGCCGGCGAAGCTCGATTACGATTCACTCTCGAGAGATCGCATGCATTCAAAAGGAATGATCTATGCGTGCGACGAGTAATCGATCGAGAGGAAAAAAGAAAGAGAGAAAGAGAGAGGGATTCGAGGGATCCCAAAATTGCTTAGTGTATTGATTAGTAGTTATACGTCACGCAGATTAATTGGATAATTTTACATTATTCGTGTGACAAAAAAAAAAAAAGAAACATACACATTCACAGAGAAAAACGATTTTCAATTTTGTTAAAAAAAATATATATATATATATATACATAAGACTGTTAGTTACACACACATGGGACTGTATTATACAACCAATCACGCTTTCCAAATGACAATTTGGACACGGATACCATTTCTTCGCGCGAATTCTTTGAAACATTCGAGTTGCAAGAACTTCATCTTTTCTCTTGCGCGGTGCAGCTCGTCGAGTGCAGGCTCATCTATTTGCAAACGTGTTACGGATTATGATGGCGTAGTACGTGACGTGCAGCGAAGCAAAGGTATGCCAAGATAGTGCAAGGTGATCGGATCATGCTTCGGATCGTGAATGCGATTGATGATGAATAGATATACGTAGACGCGTAGGTGTAGGGGAATTTGGTGAATGGTGTCGGTCGGAACGACACCTAGGGGAGATGATCGTTCGCCGATCGAAGAGATCGCGTCCTCGTTTTTTTGCCAAGCTTTTGTTTCACTAGCTTCGAGTCAAAATTCATTTCTTAATCGAGTAATTACACCTCGTTAACCTTAACGAGTACGAGGCACTCTCTCGAATAAAAACCGGCGAAAAGAAGATTATCGCGGGGCGAGGGATCAAGGGAGCCGTCTCAATGGGAACAGTGAAACTGTTGTTGGATAAATAAAACGGTTCGCTGCATTTGCGAGAATACGCCTGTTAAATATATAGGTTTATATAGAAACGATATTTCACGGTGAATTAAATATACCACGGTGATGAAATATTGGATTGAATGCGCACGATGCATTATTTATCTAGAAGAGAAGAGAAGAAAAGAAAAGAAAGAAATGGAAAGCTTATAATTTGCAACTACTGAAGAGTATCCAGCGCGAGATACGATCGGTGAAATCGATCGTACGCTACGAAAATCGCAACAATCCGTCATGACACGGAGGGGAGAAAAAAAAAAAAAAA